AACTCGAGTGCTCCTCGCAGCGAATACCTCGCGCAGTAGTTCTGGGGTTATTTGAGCTAAACTGTTATTGCCTTAGAATTCCTACGTCACAGAAATCGTTTTCTGGCTCGGGTTCGCAGACGTTATTTTGCGGCGGAACCAAGTGACAGCGGGAAATACGTCTGCGTTCGCAGGCTAAAAAATCGTTTGCTTGGCGCCGGCTGCCTCACAAATTTGCCGTAGTCTCAAGGAGCACGAGCTGATCACGTGCGAGTCGAAAGTTCTAGTTGTTGTTTCTCTAGGGAGTTAGTAGGCGCTTTCCATTCGACCAAAAATTCCGAAATTTTGGAAACGAGGTCAAATGGGAGGGAAATTTCTTGGGGAAAGTTCAAGAAAATCCGGAAATTGTTGAATTTCTGTAAAGCGAACCATCCAACCGAAAATTCCGGAAATTCCGGGATGAAAAGCAAATGGAACGGTAATTTGTTTGTCGATAAATACTAGCTACGGCTAAATTCGTCAAGAAAGCGTTTAGTTCCACTAATAAAGTATACACTGGTTGGCTACGAAATGTACAAAGATTTATAACGCGCGCAGATGCTTTTTGTACCACTTATTAAACCCTTTTTCTTGTGACATTTTTGCAGCCGTTGTGGTTTGTATAAGGTCCCAGCTGCTGTTGTGGCCTATAAAAAGTCACAGCGTCGACTTATCAGTGCTCTGTATGCTTCGATATTTGCGATTTCGACCTCGAAGTCATTGAAAAATTCCAAGCGAACAAAAGTGCGCCTTATCATCGTTTTCTACTCTGGTGCAAGTCAACCGGGAAATTCTGTTCCATTCGACCTAGGAAATGTCCGGAAATTTACACCAGAATTTTTGGTCGAATGGAAAGCGCCCAGTGACCCACTACGCGTGACATGTTTTCCTCCAATCGGGAAACGTGTTTGAGTCGGGAGGCATAACAAACTGATTTAAACGGATATTCAGCGCGACTAGTATTCTCCTAATACTGGCTGTCTTTCCAGCTAACGTCACTCTACGACAGTGAATTTAAAGAAACCTCGTGAAGGCGACCACCGTTGGCTCTAGACGTGATTTTGTGGAACAATGTACATGTACTTTCAAATTATGACATATTTACGCATTATATGACTGAGAAAATGACTTCGTTGTGATTGCGGGCTGAGAACAGATCTGAAAACAAAAGTTGTCTCAGAATCAGATTTTAAACAATTGCCATAAAATCAAAGTTCTGGTGTATTCATTTCAGTTTTAATAATAGAAAACGCCTTCCAAACTAAAATGTGGCATTCCAATTTGGAAAAATTCCGAAGGGTACTGGTATTTG